TGGGGGGGGGGGGGCGGAGTTTATGAAAGACAATCTTTAAACAGAAACATGTTCATTCCCATATAGTTCTTTTCCTTCTTCCTGATTTTCCAACTATATATTATTGTAGCAAAATTAAATATGGAAAACAAAAAATTACAAAAACTATTAAATAGTTGTGTTCAGCAAATAATCATTCATACCAATCCATACAAGCAATGGCGGGTGTTTGGATCATACGAAGAAAAATTACGCTGCTGGCGTATGAAAGACATTATTTTGTGTTCCCCTTCTCCAGGAACATTGGCATCAGAAAGAATCACCTAAATCAATAATCATGAAGTTAAAACAAAAAAGAGATGAGAGAAAATAAAAAATGATGGATCATGTGTTCGTCAAGTTGAAATTAGAGTGGCACAAATGGAGCAGACCTTGATGTCCCTCCAGCCTGAATCATTGTTCAAACGTAAACTAATATAGCTGCGAAGAGCATTCGACAATTTGTACATAAAATCAGTTCCAGGGGTGATTATATTTGAATCTAAGACTTCGTTTTCCTTTTTTGGTAACACTTGTTTGCCTTCCAATTCAAACTGTCTTCTCAGCTTCTCTTCTTCAGCATCCTATACAGTTGATACCAACATTTTGGGGTATAAATTTACGTATTTGTATGAACATTAAGCGGGTACAAGAAATTTTGTGTGATTCAGAAACATAATATATTAATTAAAAGCTTAAAACCCACAGCTAATTCCTTGTCCTTGGCAGACTTGAAACGCCTGGCACGTTGTTGATTCATTTTAGCCCTTGGAGCGACTCCATCTACAAGAAATCATCAAGTTTATATCCTTATATAAACTACTTCAATTTCAAAGTATACATAACGATACGCATATCAACTAAAGTAAAGAGATGATCAAGAGAAAGCAAAAATCTTACAAAAGTATTATAACATAGGAAAAATAAAGTAAAATTTTGTCACCTATGGCCATGTATAAAAGCTTCCTCGGTCGAACAATGTTGAAAAGTGTGTCAATATATTCAAAAATATTGATGAACACCTCTTCAAAACTAGTTGGTTGCACCTGAATAAATACAGTAGAAATTAAAATATATAACTAAGGATAAAATAAAACAAATTTGAAAATTCTTATAGCTTGTGAAGAGAATATATAGGAATTAATAAGTTCATACTCCATCTTCATCTGATTCCGGGTGAAAGCAGGGATGGATAATCCCATTCATGTCAAGATAAAGGTTATCAAACTCCATGCCATTTGGGTTTGGTGAGCTTGTGGACTCATCTCTCTGGTCGACAATGGCCTTGACCACCACTTTGGGATACTTGTTAACCAGCCAACGGAAGAAAGAAGGCACCCCCATTCTCTCTCTCTCTCTCTCTCTCTCTCTCT